AGGAATCTGAACTCTATGTTAGTCCTTTCCCCAGACCACTGAGTGGGCGTCCAGGACGCCCACAGCAGGACAGTGTATCTCCTCAAGTCTTTCGACAGGAATCTGGACTCTGTTTAGTCCTTTCCTCAGACACAGTGGGGGCCGTCCCGAGCGGCACAGCACATCTCAAGTTGTTCGACAGGAATCTGAGCTCTGTTTTAGTTTTAGTCCTTTCCTCAGACCACTGAGCGGGCGTCCAGGACGCCCACAGCAGGACAGTGTATCGACCTGATTTTGGCTGGTTAATACATTGAACACCTGTAATTAGAGACGGTGTTTAATACATTAAACACGGTAGTTCAGAGATATGGCTAATATATTAACTCACAAGTCTACCCATTTCGGGAAGCGATGTTTCCCAGGACACTGCGGCTTGTGGCTCACTGCTCCTCGTCGTCGTTGACGATGAGCAGGCATAGACGTGTGTTTGGCGAGGTGCGCTGACTAAGTTTCCAAACATGTCTAAATTAGGCAATCAGATCCTACAGATTAGATATGGTACATTGTGCAATAGAGCTCATTCATCCTCGTCGTCCCCCCCCTCGTCATCCCCATCGCCGTCCTCGTCATCGTCCCCATCGCCGTCCTCGTCGTCGTCCCCATCGCCGTCCTCGTCGTCCTCTGAGTCGTCTGAGGCGCTAGCCCACTGTGTATGTGCCTGCACCTGCGCCACCCTTGCTGCCTCTGTCTCTGCTGCCTCCACCTTCGCTCTCCCCTCAGCGATGAGTGCCGCAACTCCGTCCCACTTCCGCTCGAAACGTGTCGCGATAGACCGCAGCATACGTGCTTGACGGGTAGCGTACGCGTCGTGACCTTCTCGTTGGCGTGGATCCTCAAGCAAGTCAGGCCTGTGCGCCTCGGTGTGAATCTTCTTCGAATCCCACCAGTTGGCCCGCCACCGCAAATACTCAGGCGTGCGCCGCATCTCTTCCTCCTCCAGATCCACCTCTTCCGTATTCCGGAGACCGAATGAGCGCGTCTTAGCCCATTCGATGCGCAAAGCTCGGGGACTGGGTGAGCGGACAAGTAACATTTCGAGCTCAGTGCTCTCACCTTCGTTCATGGCGGGGTTCCGATCCGCATCCGCCGCTGATCCATCTGCCAGCCAGATCCACGACAGGGGGGTACGCTCCTCCTTTCATCGCCTCTTCTTCGCCGACGCCGTCTCCTTCCGCCTCTTGCCTGGCTTGCGAAACGTTCCTTCTGGCATCTGCTGCACATCCTCCGGCTTCAGCACCTGCAACACCACGTCCCAGCCCGGTTGGTCCAGGCTCTCTCCCAGGATCCCCAAGGCCGTGTGTGCGACCCTGTAAGTTGCTGACGCCCGTTTGATCTTGTCGTCAATCCCCTCGATCTTGGTCAGCGACCGCATGGTATCCCGCACGCCGAGGATGTTCTTGTCCTTGTACTTGTATGCGTGGGTCCGCACAAGCAGCTGGTGTCGGAGCTCGTGCAGGGCTTCATGAGCCTGCCCCTTCCGCAGACGAAACTCGAAGTCCCGCAGCTCTCGCAGGCATGCGACATCCCGCGGGAGCTGCGATGGAAGGAGAAGGGGGATATCTTGCACCAGCTCCCCAGCGACCGGCTTGGTTCTGCTGTCCTCCACGCGCTTTGCCGCTGACGCCGCCCTCAGGACCGCCACCTCCGGCATGAACTGCGTCTGGGTCTCCATCCAAGACAGGATCTTCCTGCGGGCTTTGCTACAGCGCTCGAGCATCACCCGCTTCTGAGTAAGCGTCGGATGATTTCCCGCTGCCGCCTGGTCGAATTTTAGCTGGCGTCTATCAAAATAGGGTCAGAACGTGTCGTGCCCCACCGCATGAGACTTACTGCTGCTCTTCCAGTTGGACGCCCATCGCCAGCATCTCGGAGCTGTCTGTCTCGCCCCGCACAATTCCACCACCCTTCTCAGCCAACTCGTAGCGCACCGAGGCTATGCTGATCTCCTCTGTCTTTCTCTCGAACGGATTCGGTTGCGTCGCGTCCGCCTCCCACGCCACACATTCCACCTTCCACTGCGCCAACGTCTCCCGGGGAAGCGTCCGCTCCCCCTCCAAAGTTTCCAGCCGGGTTTTCACCATCTCGGGGACGTAGTACGTGATTTTCTCCAAAAAGTACTTCCCTGCCAATTGCGTCAGTTTAGACGAGTGTGCGTAGAATCGAAATATACCCATATTGAGGATCTTCTTCCAATTCCAATCATTAAAGTGGTCGTCCAGCACCTCGCGTCGCAAATTGGGCCCCATCTCCCTCGTGCTCATTGCGAGTGGATTGATATTCGACCACCCACGTTCCGGCGCCTCGCCATCAGTCTGGCCAACGTAGCGGGTGAGGAGGAATGAGAACTTGACGTTGCATGATTCGATGTGCGCCGGCAGGTGGAACTTGGGGACCAGGAACACGAAGTACCGCGTTTCGTTCTGCATCCGAATCTCCCGCGGGTATATTTGCATTCGGTCCCATATATTCTTGTGCCATTGGCACGCGATGTCGTACGATACGAAGAACTCCTGTAAACCGGAACCTGCCAGACTCATAAAGAACATGTAGTCCATATTTAAATATCTACGAGTACGATCGTGTTAGTGCAAAGCAATACGCGTGAATCCAGGACTCACCGTTCCCCTAGCTGAAGATCCCCGACACCTCTCGGCCGCTTCATATTGTGGCGCGCGCAATCGACAGTCCAATCCCTGATGATGCCGTCCCGCGCGCTTCCTTGTCAGGCGTGTTAACGGCATGTGCGCGACGCACGTACTCTTCTAAGAGGAAGACGTTTAGGTTAGTATCAACTCGGCGAGTAGTATTCAAATCTCTACCGGTTGCGGCTGGTCCCAGTGCTTCTCTAGGTGGGCCATGTACGAATTGACCTCGCCGAAGAATGCTAGGCCGTTGCCTAGATCCGGGTCCGACGCCTCGCTCGAGACGTCCTTCCGCTGCATGCGGAAGTTCGCATCGAGGGCGAGGAACAAGGCGTATAAAACCTATGGTCGATATCAGTAAGCCTCGGTGCTGCTGAATTATCTTACTTCTTTTCCGGCGGTACATCTTTCCATTGGGCGGGAGGTTCTTTCCTGGGTGTGGACAGGCTGGACACTCCAACGCGCATGCTCCCTCCTTGTCGTCGCAATGCCGTCCGTCTCGTGGCCTCTGCCCGCTCGCTTCAACATCTGGATATTCCGCCATTGTCTTGTCATGTTAATGAACTCCTGATATCGAGTCTGTGAAAGTCAGGGTCATTACGCTTTCGAAATCTTAGCAGTCGTGACGTACCATGGGTGGCTCCCCTGTGTTATTGGTCTGCCGCGCAAGACTCTGATAGAACTCCCCATGGAGCACTTGGACTCCAGCGACAACAGATGGTACCGCCGTAGGACATTGAAGGTCGCCGCAGTCCGAGGACGTTTCCCAGTCGATGGCAACCACTTGATGCGCAGGAGCTGCACCGGGAACGATTGACCTTTACCGCACCTGCAATAGTACAAGTCTACCTCGTGTAGCCCGTAGGTGTCGACGACCATGAAGTTCTTGCCAGGCGCACGCTTGGGATTGGAGCACATCCGATCCGGGTGCAGCTCCCGCCCAGGTGAAATTGAAGCCCTAATGCCTTGAGTGATACTGCTCGAAGTACGCTTCGTCCTTGTTCCAGATCTTGTATCTTCAATCAGTATGACGCCAAAGCAAAAGAAAAAGAAAACGCACCTCTACCTATGCAGTGGATTGCGCTCATGCTCCCTGACCATACATTCCTTCGCCAGCAGCTCGCACCCGTGACAGTCCTTGCACCGTGCCTCGGCCACGCCCGATTTGCAATCAGGATGGCGACAAACACATTTTGTATGCGCAACGTGGTCCCCGCGTCCTTCAGCCCGCAGAATTTCGTTGAGCCAGTTGTAACGATACCGCTCCTTCCATTTCTTCACCGGCCTGTACTGCTTGCAAATCAGACAGCGGCACACACATCGCAATGACTGTACTTACTGGCTCGCGTTTCAGCGGCACCTCCGTCTCTGAGCCACTGGAGGAGGTGTCTGGCAGCTGCTCCTCGCTGTCTTCAGCCGCGAGGTTTTCTTGTCCAATCGGGAATGTCCAGTCGTTATCCATGAAGTCGTAGATCCATGTGTCGCCAATCGTGCTGCCAGCAGGGAGCTTAGATCTGGCAGCAGTGGGTTTCGTGGGCGACGCGGGAGCCACGAGCGTCATCATCGAGGCTTTATAGTTGGCCCGCCCATCTGGGTTTAGCGACATGCTTTCGTAGTAGACATCTTTATCCTCGTCGTCGCTATTTTGAAATGAGGAATTGTTTGCTCGAGTCGTCCGAAGAGGAGCTCCCTCCCGAGAACATGGTGGTATCTGCAAGTTTGCGTTTGGGTGGCATATTAGAGACCGAGACGAGACGGCAGCATAAATAAATAAATAAGAACCGGGACGAAGGGAGAGAGGAGAGAGGAGATCAATCTGTTTGATCTTCTCACGTATCACGTCAAAGCGATCACACCTAAACACAAGATGGAAGATGTTGCATCTATGTAGCCACTTAATGGATTGGCAACTCCTTTCAAAATCGTTCAAATATGTAGGGACCAAAGAAGTTTCATTAGCGATATAGCCAAAAACCAAAACCAAAAAATTCAATTCAATTGCAAAATAAGATTCAACGACGCACCGGGAGTCGAACGCACGACCTTCAAATGATGGGAAAACTTAACTACAGAGTACACTCCACAGCGCCCACAAAGACTTTTATAGTAGATAAATTTGGTGACACACCTACCATTGAATCACTAGCCCAAAAAAGCGGCACTTGCACAGCTCCTGACTGGGATTCGAACCCAAATCACTGGCCGATACAAGAAGCCAACACTAGTGTAACCTACCGGCGTTCAAAACTATTTACGAAAACATTCAATATGTAGTAGGTAGCATTACAGAGTATATATATAGAAAAGAACCCTACCGTACGGCCTAACTGGGACTCGAACCCAGAACGTCTAGATGATCTGAAGAAACATCTAGCGCACTCCACTGTGCAATTAGACCTTGGAGGTTGTTCAAAGGCTAGTCCTATACCTATTACCTTGCATTCAACTGATTTATTAAGATAGATTCCACTCGACGAAAAAAAAGGCATAGTTATACATAATTTAGTAGAAGTTGCGAACAGAACCATATCCATACCTACGAACAGAAGGACGAGCGATAGCGGAAGAACCCAACAAGATTTTTTTTTAAATTACCTCTCCACCTCCGTGAGAACTTCAGACGACTCGGATGACCAAGAGTCATCATCACTCTCTACCCCATCCTCCCACCCATCGCTCTCCCCGCCGTCGGTCCCCAACGTATCGCGCCACGTGTCGATCAGACGACGGTGACGAGCATCATACTCCTTGTGGATCCAAGCTCGCCGGCGAGCAGCCTCTGCAGAGCTCCCCGCCACTGGGAATCCTTCCAGAAACGACACGCTGTCGGTAAGTGAAGGGCTTGCTGCAAGTGACGCATCGCGCCCTTGCGACTGAAGCTGGTGGTATAGCCCCCGCGCCTGCTCGTAGCTGCCAAAGACGACGCCTTGGCCGTTGGAGCGGACCGCATACGCCATCTTGCCGGGTATAACATCGCGCCCGGATGGGGAGCCACTAACCATGTGGGACGTGCGCGGTCCGACTTTGCCCGTCGTCGGAGAGTAGGGGGTGGCCCCGGCGAGGGACATGCCTGGTGGGGTATGGGGAAAGCGCGCAGGAGGAGACGGTGGGGAGGGCGATGCGACAGACAGCGAGCGAGTGGACGAAGATGGTGAGCGAATACACGAAGAGGGCGAGTCCGCAGGTGAAGAGAGAGAACGAAAAGTAGGACGCGGTGTACAGGCGGGTGAAGACGGCGGTGAAGACGGCAGCAGTGGAGAAGGCGGCAGCGGTGGAGAAGGCGGGGAAGATGGGGCGCTGCCATCCAGAGTCGGTCGAGGGGGATGATCGTGCTCCCCCCGGTCGCAGCCTGCAAACCAAGCAGATTCCAGCGCGTGCCAGCTCTTGTACCCCTTCACGGTAGCCGCAGAAACAGTCCTGTACTGTGCGTCGGCACTTGTCCTAAATGTAAACGGTCAGTATGCAAAATAAGGAGAACAATATGTGACGCACCATGAAGCGTACGCCCCAGGACATTCAACTTTGCGCCCAGTGACCAGGTAGATCTTCCTGTATGCGTTCGGCGTGTCCGGTTGTCCAGGATCCACGTAGAAAGGTACAGCACAGCGGAATATCGCCATAAGAATAGAGAAAGGAGAAGAGGAGGCGGACAGCCACAAGTTTCCATTTTAGGCCGAACACAGTTCTTTCAAAAGTAGGCAGTCTACATATGCAACGTCTGGCGGCTTCCCTCTGCAACAAGACCTCCCGCACCCAAATACTCTGCTATCTTCTCGTCGTTGTTTCTCTCCACCTCTTCCCGCTCCACTTGGTTGTCAATGTATGCGACGTACTTCCTGAGAGTTCTGACCCGAGTGGCGGCCTTGATGTAACGGCTGTTGAGCGTCGTTCGAAGCGCGGCCGAGGACGGGCCGCGGTTGAAATTTATTGCCAACTCCGACTCTTTGCGGGACATATGCCGCTCGGCGTTCTTCAGCTGCAACCTCGCGCGCCGACTCTTTTCGCGTGCGTCAATGAGTTTCTGGGATGGGAAAGGCGTCCCCGGCTTGAACTCCGCGTTTTCCAAGAAGACTTTCAAGGCCGAGGTCATTCCTCCCTCCGCCAACGCCTCTGGATTCGCCGGTCAACCACGACACGAGATTCTGACCAGGTGGTAGGACATACCGCGTTTCAAGACCAACGACACTTGGTCTACCGTTTTTTCGGTGAGCTGCTCGACGTGTGGCGGGGCACGGTTCTCCTTGCTCAAGATACGCGGCATGTTTTGTGGGTGAAAAAGGTAGGTGAAGTAGACGCGTCTCATGCACGTTAATATATTAAGATGGTAGCTCCATATATTTTCCTATTTATTCACTCGCCAAGTGTCCGGGGCCCGGGACAACGCAGCCATCCGCATCACCCACGTACATCATGGAACCAGCTGCGCCACCGTTGTCCGGGGCGAGCCAAATCCCCCACCCTTCCTGCCAATATCGGAAACCTTGCCCCGGCGGAGACAACACGCGCATGCCGCGACTTTGTGTGCAGCTAGCTGCAGCCTTCTGTGCTGCCTGCCCCACGATCAGACGTACTCGCTCCTCGACAACCTGCTGTGCCGCCACTCGCTCCGCCTCAGCTGCTGCGCGCGCGGGGCCACGAATTTTCTCCATCTCCACATACACCCGCCGTTCGAGTTCCATCACGACCGCGATCATTGGAGAACGCATCGCCATCTGTGTCGCGTGCTGCAACGTCTTCTTCTCTGCACAGGCCACGCGCTCGAGCCCAATGGACGCCGCCTCCGCTGCCGCCGCCCTCGATTGAGCGCGGGCCGCTTCCGTTTTCGCCTTACGCTCCGCTGCCCTCCACGCCTTCATGCGCTCCTCTCACTCCAACTCCGGGGCCAATTTGGCAAGTTCCCGATCGTATTCGGCCCAGATTTGATTGGCGGTGGGCGAAAACTGCTGAGGGGGGGCGTTGAGCTCGAACCACCCCTTCGGATCATCCTTGTAAGACTGATCGCTGGTGATTTTCCATGCAGCATGCCATTTCTTGGGAGTCCCGCATGCGCACCGGGTAATGGGATAGATTTCGCGCTGGCATCGCTGACAATCGAATATGGCGGGCTCGGTTGTCGTAGAATGCTCCGCGTCTCGACCGAGAGTGTCTTCGGGAAGTGGGGTAGCCGAGGGAGGGGATGTAGGAAATGGCAGGCTCTGGGCGGGAAGTTTGGCCGGCGTCGGCTTTGACACTTCACCGCGCAGCGCTTGCAGCCAGTCTGACGATAACGGTGAGTCGAATGTGCATATATTAAAATGCTGCCTAAACTTACCCAATCTTTCCTGTTTTTGTAGCTTCCTAAGCTCTGCGTTTGGCGCGAGCATCATCGCGGCGGTTGTAGGCAAAGCCGTTTATACCAGTAGATTGAAGCAGTTTGATTTTTATATACAATACAAACGAATTATTCTATACGATACAAACGAATTATTCTACAAGTTATTGGAAGGGGGTTCAGATATTATATATACAAGTCACCTAAAGCGGAACGACGATCAGCCTCCAATTCCTCGTGTTTTGAGAAAAGATTCAACGCCCATTGCCACCGAGACCCTGGTTCTCCATCAAACAATGCGACTAAGTCGGCTCCCCCAACACTTGCGAGGACAGATTTTGCTGTGCGGAACCCGTACTTGACCCACCGAAACAATCCGCCCACAGCGTACTGTGTAAACGAAAGGCGGGTCTCTCCAGTCTGAATGGGAGTGTTCCCATGCTCCACGAACGCGGATGGGATCAGCATCGATGATCCTGATGGAAAATCTATGACCATCTTGATCTGCTGGAGATAGATCTGGCCACCTAGGGTATGGTCGTAAGGACGGCCGTTCTCCTCCAGTGAGGTGACACCGCATAGACCGTGTACAAGGTTGTGGAGGTCGGCGTGTTCGTCGGTCACTACAGTTGGGCCTAAATTAAAACTCGCTCCAGGAAAGATCGAATTCGAAAAGTTATGTTCGAGCCCCGGGTGGTGCTCAAACAAAAGACGCAGATTGTCGACCAGGTACCTCCAGAGCTTTGGAGCGTAGCGAGCCAGTCCCGCTGAAACAGACGTGGATCAATATATGAGTTAATGTAATCTTTGAAGATCTTACAGGATTGGAAACCGGCTAAACGACGGACGTACTTATTTTTGCGTAGATAATTGATTATTTTGCGTCGTTTCGCGTTATTAACTAGATTCCCGGGGCGCTAGGCCCAGTGTTAGAAAGAATGCAATTCATTAATAGGTCTATACATTATGTACCTGCTGACCACCGCCCAGAGAAACACCCATGCTTAAAACAGCGTAAGAACCGCGACGATGCTTCAAGTCTTGGGGGCGGAACACTCCAGACGCTTCCCCGGCGTGGCGCGCACGGGTGAACGCCGCCGCCGCCTTGCGCACCACCTCATCCCAGTCTGGATCTTCAGGACGCCCCAGAAGAATCGCAATGATACGGCCTTCAATATCTACAATCAATTTTGGTGAACTAAAACCCGTTTCGTGAGTGGCAGCAGTGGGAATGGAAAGAGAGAGCTCACCGACCGTCCCACTGGATATGGAGGGAACCAAACTTCTTCAGTTCAGCTAGGGTCCAGCGGCGCCGACGACCTTTGCCTTTCCTACTCCCTACCCACGCCCCGGCCTTCGAAGTGTACGCTGAGGCGGTATTGAAGCCAGTCTGTTCGACAGGTTGCTCGCGGTGGCCCTGGTCGTACTTCGCGCGCAAGGGCTTGATATACGGGCTGAAGGTGGAGGCCTTGGCGACTTTGGCGCGGCGGCGACGTCGTGTTTCGTATCGATGTGCCCGACGGCGGCGCTGTTCCACCGACAAAGCACTGGTGAGGGCGGGCATCGTGGGGTCGTTGTCGTCGGCATCGTTGTCAGTGGCTAGGGGGTCGGGCTTGTCATACGAGCTGGTAGGAATTCGATTAGGAACGGTGAGGGAGATAGGTGTAGAAACGCACCTGACAGCATCCATACCAGCAGGAGACGCACTCCGTGGGGACGCGGTGAGCTCAGAAACAGGGGACAGAGGTCGGGAGTGAACTTCGAGTATGTCCTCCCACTCGTCCTCGTCATCCGGGGTACTGAAATCTTGACCCAGAGCAGCAGCGCGCAGGTCAGCTGCTGTCATGGCACGCTTGAGGAAGTCCGAGAGGTCTATGCCGGTGTGGATGATTTCGGCGTCGGGAAAATTGGCGATAATTTCCGCATCAATCATGTAGGACGAGAAAATTCGCCCAGAACGTGTCGTGCGGTCCATGGAGGGCCAGGCGACGCGTTTGGACGGCTACTATAGCACAAGTGAGTTAGCTTGTAATGAAAAAGAACGTAAAAGAAAAGCCCAGTGCCATGATACAAGCCCAACGCGCAAT